CTAGGGCCCTGATTAAGCCTGCTTACACAAGGCTCTGTTTATCAAGAGACTAGCTCGCTAACAAATATTGGTAAGGTCAGCTGGTTTGTCTGACGAATGAGTTTTATTTGTGCACTTATTGACAGTAAAAAGCAGGAAGCGTAAAAAATACCTGTAAGGTTTATTGTAACTTTTCTGGATCTATTTTGTTTATATCAAGATGATTTGCTTCAGCAAACTATAGTAGTCTTATCGTTATTCTATGTACAGATATTTGGTCATACATAATAATAATAAAAAAATAATAATGGCCGACTACTAGTTTCCGAGCGCAGCCGTCTGCTAGGGTGACAAGCGAATTTGTTAACAAATAACGCATTTACTTTAAATACGTCCTATAAAAACATTAATTATTGACGGTAACTAAATTTTAATAAATAAATTTAAAATAATGTTAATAAACTCAATAAATTTATCTTCATTTACTTTGTCCTGACGAAAGAATGTGGGAGAAACTTCGAGTCGGAAGATAAGTCACTGAACTTTTATTTTTCTATTTACCACACACACACACACATAGATAGATAGATAGATAGATAGATAGATAGATAGATAGATAGATAGATAGATAGATAGATGCATAAATACATACACCCTTGTGAACATTAATTGAAACAACCGCTTTAATTTCCTTTCTTTCACCATACGGTCAGTTTTAGACCCACCAGAGTAACAGGGTGTAATCGATTTCTATTTTTCCTCAGATTAGGTCATTTGCCGTGGTGTGCAGTAATATGAATCTTCTGAATTTTCGGGTTGTATGATGAAATTTGTTTGGCCTTGAAAAATATTGCGTCATCCGTGATTGCATCATATTTGCATCACGCTCAGACACTATTGTCTCGACTGTCGATTAGTTGTCCTATGGCCATTGTCTGCTATGGACGTTACTCCAAGGAAGCGTACGAAAATTGTAACGCTGCACGAACACATTGGCAAGTCTTACCAATGAGCAAATCAAAGTACTGGCCCGGAAACTCTCCTGATTTAAATCCAATCGAGAATCTGTGGTCAATCTTCAAGGACTGACTTCGTGGAATGGACATATGAAGCACTAACATGTGAACTGGGTCATGTTTATTTGGAAAAATACGAAAAAAGTAAGTAATAACGGAATTATTCCTGTTATTTCAATTAATTTGTACAAGGGTGTAGATAGATAGATAGATAGATAGAAGCAATTAAAATATGACGCTATAATGCTCATTCCGCTTGGTGCATGTATGTCTTAAAAATATCAACTAATTCAAATCTAATTTATGAAAATAGTCATTTTTCCTCCATTGGTGAAATACTTCATAGAAATATTTAACTGGTTATTAAACATTTGATGACATAAAATTCATTTAGCATGAAAATCACTTTGCCGTGGTATATAAATGAAAAAGTTGTATTTTTTTTTTTTCGGAATTCATTTAAGCAGTGTGATTAAATCAACTATTTTTCATCGAATCTTATAGTCGGATAATCAGATGATTATGTTGGGTTAACTTTTCTTTCTTTTACCCAGTTAATATGTTCCGCGCTTAACTGGTCATGTAACACTCAATGGCCAATTAAAAGTGCACCTGCTTAACAGAGAGGATAGTCTTCGAGTAGATGCCGTAAAACAAACTCTCACAACATGACCAATCGGATTTGTGAGTAAAAAAACATTTTTGTAACAGCCACTAGCTTTCTATTTCAGAATCAGTGAGTAGGCATGTTACACATTTCTATATTTTATTAGCATATTTTCTTTGTAAAACATAAAAACTTTATTTACGTTCTTCCGACTTCTCTCCAGTCGTCTTTATATATTTATATTTATTTATAAATGTTTTGGTAACTATTTGCTTTCGATTAGCAGATACTAGGAAAGACAGCCCCACATATACAGGATAATTTAAAAGTAACTCCCTATTTTAAAATACTTATTTATTTATTAATTATAATTTTTACAAGAAATGGATATGTGAGGAAAGTGTTTAAAATGAGGTTTTATTTAAAATTTGATATGGGCACCAGATCTCGCTACCAGCTTCTTGAGTCACCCACGAATCGCGTCAACTGATTTCACCAGGAATTCTTGTGGTATGGAAGACATAACTTCTTGTATTCGCCCTTCAAGTTCTTCCAAAGTCTTGTTTTTGGTACAGTAAACTTGCTCTCCAAAGAAAAAAGTCAGGACTCCTGGCTAGCGACTCATACATAAAATAGGGAGTTACTTTTCAATTACCTTGTATTTGGTAAACCAATATTTATTTAAAAAATATTTTAATTATAACATTAAAGATTTCTCAGTTTCAACTAAAATAAACAAAGTATGTCTAGAAGGATTCATCTGCTGACAAAAAGACTTTACATTTCAAAGAATCAAATATTTGTAATGATATACATTAACTTTTTGTAAAATAAATACCAGATAATTTAAAAAAAAACACGATGTTTTTAATTATTTCGTTCTTTTGAAGTAAGGATATAAATCAAAATTAAATTATTCGAGTACAGCATAAATATATCTTTCTGGGATGTAGGAATTTATATGATATCTGTAATTTATGCTTTGGGTCCAAAGGTACCGAGAAAAAGAAATAAAAGTCAACTGATATTGCTGCGGGGGCGAATATGGGTAACCTGGAAGGTAGAACTTTGCTGCGGAGTTAGTTGATTTTCCGTTTGGCAAAGGTAAATCCAAGCGTCAAATAAAAGAGTACGTTGAGTAGGGGTAAATAAATGTATAATTTATTTACATATATACAAAGACTGGTAACTTCTATCTGTTGCTGTTGATAAGGCTACAGGGAGAGTGAGTGGTGAAAATAGAAGTGAATCGTCGTCGTTGGTATCGTCACTCTCTCAGCGTGCCGGTATTGACATCAAACTCTGATCTGTGTCGGATCTGTTTGTATCTGGGTATATAGAGTTTTTAGCCGGCTCGAAATTAAAGGGTTTTGAGTAAGAGTGGCTCTGACTGATCATAATATATTATTAATTTTGTTAATTGTGAAATATTTGTCTGATCTGTGTAAGACTTTGTATGGATCCTGATAATTTGCTGAGTGTTTTTAACGACGTCATCTCGTACAAAAATTACTCGCGGGTTTACATATTTCTTGGTGTCTATATGTGTCTTTTTGTGAATTTCGACTTAGTGTGAATTGTAATTGAGAATTTTTTTAATGCTTGTATGAAATACGGTGTCGGATTTGAGTGTATATCTACTTCAAAAATTGTACAGGTGTGTACTGAAGACTATTTCGGCTGGTGTGCAGCCAAGGTTTTCTTTAATAAGATTCCTTATAGAAAGGAGTATAAGGGGTAAATTATCAATCCAATTGGTTGAGTTTTCCTTCATGGCTAATGATGTTTTGAGTTTCCTGTGGAATCTTTCAACTAATACCTGGGTGGTATGCTGTTGTTTTAATATGTTTTGCTCCCAAGAATTGCTGAATTCTTGAAAGAATGATGATCGGAATTGTATACCACGGTCAGTGATGATGACATTGGGTACTTCGAAAGTAGATATCCAATCTTTTAAAACAGCGTTTGCGACTGAAGTTGATAATGTGTCTTTGAGTGCAATCGCGGTTGGCCAACGTGAAAATCTGTCAACAATAGTTAAGATATATGAATAACCTTGACAGCTTGATAGAAGACCCACGTTGTCTATTTGTATGTATTTGAATCTTGCATCTAGGTTGCTGAGAGTACCAACTGGTGTTTTGGCATGACGTTGTATTTTATTCTTCTGGTCATTCTAGGCACGTTGATGTCCAATTTCTAATGTCTAATGCTATATTTCTCCAAACAAAACGCTCGCTTATGATTTTTACAGTGGGTCGATTGTTTGGGAGTGAAAGATTATGTAAGTGTTGGAATATTTGTTTCCTCGGTGTGGGGACTATACGTGCCTAGAATGACCAGAAGAATAGAATACAACGTCATACCAAAACACCAGTTAGTACTCTAGGGTTGGTTAATGTAGTGTCACAATGAAGTATTTTATTGCTGAAAGGAACTGGAAATGTTTCAGCCTTAAAGAACTGTTTCATAATATTTCTGTTAGTGTGGAGTCAGGTTTCTGTTCATCAGAAAATAAATCATGACTTAATATGTCATCAGTGATTATTGTTATATCTGTATGTGACAGTAGATCGGCAATACTATTTTGCTGTCCCTTAATATAAAGAATATTTGTTGTGTACTGAGAGATAAAATCTAAATATCTAATTTCTCTAGGGGTGTATTTGTGTGCACTGCAGTTCAGGACGTGGGTGAGTAGTTTTTGATCCGTGTATATTACAAAGTTTCTACTTTCGAGTATATGTCTAAATTGTTTAATTGCTAAATATATAGCCAACAATTCTGTGGTAATGGTTCTATAATTGGTATTGGTTAAACACGCTGAGGAAAAAGAAATAGATTTTCTTACCGAATCGATTCCCTGTTCAATTATAGCTCATCTATTGCCGTGTTAGACGCGTCCGTAGCAAGGAAGATGCGTGCATTTCATACTTGAGTGAATTTTGCAAGAGCGGATTTGGCTGTATTGAAGGCATGGAGAGCATCCTGTTGTAGAGTGATGATTTTGTTATTTTTTTTCCTCTAATAGATTGGTTAATGATAGATTAGGGATGAAAAGACGATAATAATTTATCAGTTCGATAAAAAATCTTAACTATCGGATGGCAGTCGATACAGGGAAAATTTCAACTGCTTTCACTTTTCCCGGCAAGGGTGAAACCTCATTTCGGTCTATGACGTGCCCAAGAAATTTAACTGGAGTGAGGTCAAAAGTACAATTATCTAAATTGATTTTTAATTCAAATTGAGAAAGACTTGATGCAGATGCACTTTGTGTTCTTCAATATTTTTGCTTGCAATGAGGATATCGTCAGTGTAAGCGTATACAAATGGTAATCCTCTCAGGACTTGGTCAATTAGTCTTTGAAATTATTGGACGGCGTTCCTATGACCAAATGGGATCCGGACGAACTCGTATAGCCCGAATGGAGTTGTCACCGATGTTTTGTGAATATCCTCTTCCACTACCGGAATCAGGAAGTAAGCTTTTGCTTGATCAATGTTTAAGACTATACGTGATCCGCGTAACCCGAGTGTGAAATTGTGTATATGAGTAACTGTGTAACGATCAGGAACGATGGATGCATTTAATTTACGAAAGTTTGCACAAGGTATTGGAACAAAGAGTAAGGGGGATGCCTACTGGCTTTCACATGCGCGGATTATCCCTTCCCGTAACATTTTGTTAAAGTCGTTTTTGGCGAATTCGTATTTATATATGTAGTCGTCGTGGGCGTGAAAATACTAGCGGTCCAGTATTTTTTATCCGGTGTTTTGTTTCATGCCTGATGATGTCAGTATTTTTAAAAGGTTTCGTAATATCCTTATATTTGTTCAAATTTTCAAGGAATTCGATACTATGCTAAGTTATTGCACTGATGCCGGTAGATCTGTATTGTGTACGAATTCCTGTAATACGGTTATTAGTTTCGATGTCCGAAAGAAGTCTGTGTTTTATATTCACAAAAAGTTGAAATGGGTCAAAGTATCTGCTCCAAGAATGGCTCATATGAATCTCCACGTAAAATTTCGGCCAATATTAAATATCGAATCTTTTGTGCCGTAGGTATGAATGCATTTACCATTTGCAGCTAGTAGTCTGAGGAGACTAGGATTGGCTCTGGATCCAGGTGCATGTAGAATGACACTGACGGTTGCTCCAGTATCCATTAGGAATTTGTAAACCTTATTTTTTTATACTACGTAAAATAAGCGACTTTCTTTGTGTGCACCAGTCCAGGTAGTCGCGATTACTCGCCGGTTTGTTCGTCAGACAATTTTTCCTTGAGAGTAATTCTTTAAGCATAAGAAATTTGAACAAAACTCGTTTCATTCAAGACTTCTTGCTTTCCAATATGTTTTTGTGTTCATTTATATTCTTATTGGGCATCGGAAAGTTTCTACAGTTTTTTTCTAAATAAAAATAACGGACATTTTTTTACATTAAATTTATTAAATAACATATTTTCCAGTTTGTTCCACAATCTTCTACAATCTTTCAGCCACGTTCATATTTCCTCTCAGAAATTTAATCTCTCTTAGTAAAGAACTGCAGTAGGTGCCTTTTGGAATCATCCAGAAAACTTTTTTTTCGTTTAGTGAATTCTGTAAAAACAGGAATAAATGATAAACCAAAAGAGTAATATCTGCTAAATAGGGTTAATGAGTTAAAACTTTCCCGTCAAGATGTAAGAATTTTTTTTAGATTCAAATACAGTGTGTCAGCTAATAGGAGATATATCTATTTTGAGAGATGTCGAGAAATCTGCAATTTCCTGATGGAATATTATCCTGATGGAATATTATATCAATTGAATAATTCTGTGCGATTTTCATCTATTGTTATTTTCATTTGATCTGGTAAGAAGCAATATTTTATCGAATCAATTGTCTATTACACTCACAACAGAGGACACCCGTCTAATAATCCTATCATATACACAGCATCACTTTCTCTGAATTAAGGCTGACTTTTGCTACCGGTTACTTGAAGTTCATTTCGCTTGTTCCATGAATTCTTGCATTCGGTGTTGTTCTTTTCACCATCTGTTACAATTTGTTTTTAAAAAATTTTAAGTTTAAATAAATAACTGTACATAGAAGTACGGTTGAGTTGATTTTTCTGCTTATGTGGCAGTCAAACATCAGAGTAACTAACATAACGAACCTGGTGCAAAAGATTTTCAACGCTTGGTTTGGATATTCTTGAGTATGTTGCTTATCTACCACGCCTTATGACGTTGATAATTCTCCGTGTCATCTCAATTCTATTCGATCGCTGACAACTTCACACACAACTTCTGACATTCCATCATTCTCAACATTTTTTCTATTGCTTTTTTTTTTCTTCTATTTTCAATGTTAGATTCAAGAGAGAAAATTATGCCAATTTTGATATTTACAATGAAATTCAAACATTTATGTAGCTGTCAACATACAGTGTGTAATGAATAAGCAACGCTGAGTATAAACTTACGAAGCTTTATTCAGCAAAACTGAATCGTTAGTAATTAAACGGCCTTTTATACAGGGTGGTTAGTAATGAAATGGGTAAGATAAGATAGGGTCATTATTATCACAACAGTCAAAGGCAATCTTTTTGACTGAAGGTTACTTAAAATTAAATGTTCCAATAAAAATAAAATAAAATTATTTAGCCAACAAAATATAACTGATTGTATGACGGTGTAAAACTTAACATGAAACCCAGAGTTGTATATTCTCTTATAATTACGAAAAGTTATAATTAACACAAAAGCATAACCTTTAAGAAGTTAGTAATGTGATAGCAAGATTCGTATAGATATTAGCTTAGTCTGGTACAAGGTCATAAGTGTAGACCACTCTGTTACATTTTAACTTACTACAGTAGTCAGGATTACAAAACTAGCTCTCATAACGCGTAACCAAGCAAGATTCATATATATATATCTGAAATGTATTGTCTGCGTCTATATTTACTTAATCAGTACACTCATATATTCTTACATACACGCTGGTATGTTTCTTTAGAAGGTTAGTATCTAAACTAAAATTGTACTTTGAACTTTGAGATTCTTCGTCTGCCTACTCTTGCAAATGAAAGCATTCTTTTTCTGTGTCTGATGAGAAGGCTAAGCAATTCTTCCATTGGAATTTCTAAACTCTATCTTACATCTTCCCTTGTTTCACCTGATTTACACAAGTGACTGCTTCGCTGACAAGTGTAAATCAGTTGTTAAACAGAATCTAAGCTTTTATTCCCTACAATGCCAAAGTTAGGTTTGTTAACACGCACTTACAACAAAAGGAAAAACGTATTTCAAGCCAAAGATGGAAAGCAAATAGGAGCCTTAAAAAATATAAATACTGAAATTCCCCAAAAAAGAAAATTATCTGCTAAATATATGTATACGTGTATTGATATCTGTATACGTGTATTAATATCTGTATTCTTGTATTAATAAGTGTCATACAGTTTTTGATTATCCAACTGTTTGCACCCGTACACATGACGTACAAAAAAAAGAAGGACGCTCAGCACAATATGAGATAAATAAAAACAAAAACAACAACAAAAAAAAAACACTGTTTCATTTCAGCTGATTTTGGCTACTTCTGACTAGGTATCTTCACAGATTCGCGATACCTAAGATATAAAATGAATTTTTAAAAATGAAAAATATTTCTTGAGACTTTTATTTTAGTTTTAATTTCAAGTTGATAGAATAAATTTATTTTTTCCAATAAGCAAAATACTTTGCTGTATTTCAAAACTAATTTAAATTGAAGGAGTTTTCGTTTTGAAATTGTTGCATTTTTTTTTATTTTAGCTACTTGTCATTAAAATAATCAAATCTTCCAAAAATAAAATATATTTTTCTGAAACTTTATTTGGGGAGTATTAGGTGATTTAAAGGATAATTAATCTGATTTGAAACAATTTAAGTTTAAAATATCGAAGAAATTAATTTTTTAACACGTTGGTAGCTGTTTAATCAGTTGATGTGTTGACGGCTTGATGACAGATTGATGCTTATCTAATGTTGTTCTATGAGGGTCTTATCCGTCAAAAATAATTGAACGTGAGCGTCTTTTATATATAATTGACGTGAGCGTCTTTTATATATAATTTTTAAGAATTTAAGAAAATATTCTTCGTAATCTAATGTATTATTGAATTTTATATACTTTGGCTTTAAATTTGCTTTCGTTATCGCTCTTATTTTCTGATAATGTCGTGCATTAACTTCCGTATCTACAAAAAATCGGCGCGTTTATACACATACAAAAACAATAGAAATTTGTTTTTAAAATATTGCAGTATTGCAATAAGCTTTTCTATTTATGATTAGTAAATATATGTTTAATTAATAACAATGTTCCTTAACCTTTAAAGCATTGAAACTGAATTTTAAAATGTCTAAAAACTATATAAATTATTCTGATTAAAAAAAATTCTATATCTATTCAATTTTGTAAAAATTCATTATTCATCGAAAAGTTTTTTTTTTTCTTAAGACATTAAAAGTAAATAAAAGCTTTTCTAATTAAATAATTTCTTAGTTTTATTGGTTTTTTTTTTTTGGTTTTTTTTATGATTCAGAGCAGATTTTCGGTAAGACAGCGGTCCAATTTTACAAAAAAATACTGATGATTTAAATTCTCCAATTAATACAGTCATGAAAAATCATCTCGTTGAATTTTTCGAGTTTTCATAAAATTCAGTGAGTGGAGTGTAACACGTATAAAACTTTTTTTTACCAAGATTTCTAAAATAATTTAATTCATTTGTGAATAAGTCCTGAAAGTTACATTAAAATCCAACAATTTTTTGATTTTTGCAAGAATTTTCAAATGTGTCTTTCACCGCAAAAGACGCTAAAATTTGCTATGCTAATTTATAGTCCATTCGCTGACACAAGAAAAACAAAATTTTTAATCAAAATTTGAAATGTTCTAAAAAGGATTAAAAATATTATTAAATAATCAAAATACTTTGGTCTTTACTTTTAATAATACATCATAATAAGATTTTGACGATAAAACCTAGTTTTTATTAAGTTTGGAGCATTTTTTAATCATAGTATGCTCTTTTTTCAGCGATTTTGTGGGGGTACATATTTCTGAAGAACAGTCTAACAAATCTGGATCATGACACTTAACAATACAATCACAGGCGGCGAATTTCATATATGCCTATTTTTATCATATATACTTGCATATCAAACTACTTACCGTCGTTCTTCAATTCATTCCACTCATATATTAATCTACTTACCTATCTCATCACGAATTCAAACGGATATCATTTTCTTTTATTCCATCATTCCACTAATGGGTTTAAACTCTACGAGTATTTGCCTATAGTTGCACATTTACCAAGAATAATAGCTTCTATAAATATATTCCACTGTCCATCCACAGAAATATTTTAATACCGAACTTGATACCGATTTGATCTCAGATGATATTCAACAATAACAAATCACTTTTTTCTTTTCAACTGAAGCACAGTAAATGACAAATGAGATCAACTTTGAGAATTTGTTGAAAGATGCGATGTTTATGCCAGTCAAGCATCGTGAATTTTTCGACTAGATGATTAATAACTGGAGTGGTTAGTGCAGGAATACTTCAAGCTCGAAACAGAACGAGATAGTAAAGAAAAACATACTTTTATGATCTACTTGTTGGTATGAGCAAGAGGAACTTATTCAATAGCGTTAGTTCACCTGTAATAGAAGCCAACGTTTTAGAACACTTATCTTTCAATGGCTTCTAATCGAATAAGTATTCTTGAGAAGGGTATGAACGTCTAACAAAGAACAATGATAGAATCTTGCTAATGAGCAGATGATAATCGTCTAAAAATCATATAAACATTTCTAGAGATATACTTTTAAACCGTCGATCTTCCCCTTTTTAATATATCCTTTAGATATGAACAGCTCAACACGAATACACACAAACATACACGTATACACAAGGAGATAAAGGAAAGGAGAGAATGAAAAAACAAAAGTCACGTAAAACAAATTTAGATAAAAAATATTAAACATTTTGATTATAAGTAAATAAATATATGTATCTATAATGATTCGCTAAAATGAGCATACATGATGAAAAAGGTTCCAAATAATAAAAACAAAGTTTTATCCTCATAATCATTATGTTATTATTAAGAGAAAAGACCAAAAGATTTTTTGATTAAATTTTATTTTGTGATCCTTTTTAGAACATACGAAATTTTAGTTAAATTTTTATTATTCTTACAACAGCGGGTGACCATAAATTACTACGGGAAATTTTAGCGTCATTTTGCGATGCAAAAACACACTGATTTGAAAATTCTTGCAAAAATCAGATAATTGTTGGATTTTCGTGAAACTTTCTGAACTTATTTATAAATCAATGAAATTACTTTTGAAATGTTTCCTTATTTAGAAAATCTTTCTAAAAATATTTTAGTTGTTACACCATACTTATTTAATTTTATGAAATTTCGAGAAATTCTTTTTTGTAGCACTTAATGTTTATATTAGTTATAAGGACAAGTCCTCAGAGAATTTAAATCATGAAATCTTTTTTGGTTGAACAGGATCCCCAGTTACCGAAAATCTGTTCTGAATCGTAAAATAAAAAATACAATAAAAATAAGACATTATTTAATTAAAACTCTTTAAATTCTTTATATGAATAAAATATATTACGGACACTATTGACTTAAGAAACAAAGATTTTTCAATGAATACTAAAATTTTTCCTCTTCTCTAATTGTAATTATAATAATTTTTAAAGTTTTAAATCTTTTAAAATTCCCTATTAATTTTTAGCGATGAAGTGATTTTATTATTATACTATTATTACTAATCATAAATAGAAAATTTCATTACAATTTAACAGCCCACAATATTTTAAAAAGAATTTAAAAATTTTTATATGAGTATAAAAGTGTTGATGCTTGTAAATACGGATATCTAAACGCGGCATGATCAGAAAATAAGAGCAGTAACGTTAAGTAAAGTTAAAATCTATTGGTAATTTTTTAATATTTCTTCAAGAAGCGTTTCGTAATTTAGACAAAGTACCTAAAATTCAATAAAATATTAGCTTACTTAGCATATTTTCTTAAATTGTTAAAATTACTGGATAGTTACAAAAACATATATAAAAAGGGCGTTCACGTTATATTCATCAAGTAATTGTTACAGTTATGTCCCCCTTAGAAAAATTCCCAAACGAAAGTCTGTCGAATGAGTTGTCAACACCGCATAAAAACACCCACCGCCGTGATGAAGGATAATTGGCAGAGGCACGTATTGCCATGTCTCAGCATCAAAAACAGCTGCTAAAACAGTTGACATAGGCAAATATGAAACAGTTTTATTGACAAGAAAGAGATGCAAGTCGGGGAAAACGATGAGGCGTTGGTAAAATAAGTGTGAACAGAAGTGGAAAGGCATAATGGGTAATAATACAAATAGCTAATTTGCTGATCGCAAGATACCAAGAAACACAACTGAAGAAGCTTCAAAGTAACCTTGCCTATCTTTTCCTGTGAAGCAAACACTCTGCTTTTATTTGGTTTCGTATAATTTGTTTGCGAATACCAACAAGGGGGCCACTGTTCATAATCTGACAGATTTTCTTGCTAATTTTTCTACTGATTGAAAATGAGAATAAATAGGTTACTTCAAACGTAGCAATAATTTCCGGAGTTTCTTATTACAATGATCATAGACGAAGAATAACGATGATCATAAATAACAGTATTTGTATTTCATTAACCGTTCTGGATTAATATGCCATATGATATGGCACAGTTAGTGTGGATATTTTTCGGCAAAAAAGGATAAACGTGCCGGCTATAAGACGTAGTATCAAAAGGGCGGTTTTTCCCATGGCACCGCTTTTTTTCAACTAACTTCACTCTTCGGCAATGTTTATTGTTTTAAAAAGCGATGATTACAATTGTATTAAAACCTTCTGATCATTTCCTGTTCCAGTGCATTTTTTCCATTCTAATTTTATTTTGCGCTTTGCTCCCTATTCATCAGGTTAGTTATGAGCTGATTTTTTCAACCAATCCATATATATATATATATATATATATATATATATATATATATATATATATATATATATATATATATACTTTGGAAACATGAAAGTGAATTTATACATGTTCTTTCTTCTTGAAAATTAACAACAAAAATAATAAACACTATTAGATTATTTATTTACACTATTTATTATATTATTTATTAGTTGACAAAACATCAGCTAATTGCAAATTCATTCAAACTTTATAAAATGGTAAATAATAAGGATTTCCTTATGGTCGGTTCAAATATTTTAATAATTTAGTAAATATTTATAAATTTCTGAATAAAAAAATGCTTTTCCATTTTTATTTCTTTAGAAATTGGTAAATAATAAAAATAAAAATATTACATTGCATTTAGTTTTAATTCTAATTGTATTAGTTTTTTAGAATGTTGTAAATAAAAAACTAATAAATAAATACTGTATAATATTTTCTAAATTCTCAAGAACAAAAAAATGTATAAATTCAGTTTCCTCATATGTTAAGATTTTATTTCAATTATAATCATCGTTTTTTAAAGCAATAAACACTGCCGATGATTGAAGGCAGTTAAAAAAAAGCGGTGTCAGAGAAAAAACTGTCCACTGCGTCTTATTGCAACCATGTTTTTCCGTGTTTGCTTATTTTTTTTTATATGAATCTTAGTATCAGTAATAAAAACCTCCAGGATTATTTTGTCGAAGAATTAAGTATCGAACACAATTTGCCGCTGGCATTTAGAATTCCATTGAAGTACCATCTAGTTCAAAGTATAAGATCGTTAATATTTTTAAAAAATCATTATTGAATATATGACATGTGATTCCATTTTTATAAAGAAACTGAAGAGAAATAAAAAATAAACCCTGCATAATCCGTGTTATAAAAGAAGATGTGATTTTTTGTCCCTTATGCTTTGTCAGCTTAGGACTTTGCTTGCGAGTGTGTAATGCATATGCTTATGTTAGTGTTATGCTTTAGTGACTTACATTTTCTTGTGCCATACAACCGCACGGACGCACAGGTGCGCACGTGCGCGCACAAACACACAAACACACACATACACACACACACACATACTCAATTTAACTGGGTTTGAAATAAGACACTGGATTAATACGTTCCCCTCCCAATTAGTCTGGACAACCCCTACGGCAGGTGAGCAATAAAATCATAAAAATGGAGACAAGAAATATAAAAAGCATTGTAATTTCTGTAAAATTGTTCCTTTGCTTACATAAATGAAATAAATAAAAAAATAATAATTAATTTTATTTATTTTACCGACAGCTTTGTTATCATATCGTTAACAATTTCACGATTTATATCAGTCTATTCATATCTATTTACATATAAGTATTCCAAGAAATAGTATTCAAGAAAAACCTTTCCAAAGCAGATCTGGAATTGGAATGAAAGCAGAGATGGCGCATACTCTGAATTCATCATAAAATTCAAGATGTGTAATTAGTAAATACAAAACACTTCAAACACTTCAGCATATGGATCAGTTATAACACATTTAATATAGGAAAAGGAACGTAGAATAGGCTGTGCTAGATGTAGTTTCGCTCAACACCACAAATTGCTACAAAACCAAAACACGATCAGGAAAACATGAGTTATATATATAAATAGATTCGTCAGATCGTGACTTACATGTGGATGTCATGTATGGCGTCAAACCTGTTCTAAACTGTTTGCTGTATACAACCGCTTTCTCAGATAAATGATTAGAATAGCTTTGAGCTTGTGTAACCTGTGGATCTTGGCGAACACCATCTTTCTTACCATGTGAACTGGTGCTACAGAATTACAAAAAAATAACTGTACCGAATAACAGAAAGCTGTTTGTCCATTTTATTAATATAGATTTGAAATTTGATCATCTTGTCGTTAACAAAGCGATGAACAAATAAAAAATATTTTTGGTTCATAATTTTTCATAAGAATGGGTATTGTCAATTTAGAAATATGTCATTCATACGAGATCAACATTTTTTCTGGGATTCAATGGGTTTAGGTTATAAAAGGCATTCAAGCACATACAAAGGATAATAATAAAGTCTGGGCTTCTTTATGAAATCCAAGGGGAAATGTGTTGCTCATTCAGTGAAATAAAAATCTGGATTTCTAAAGATCAGTTTCATATTAAGAGAATTGTACAATAATACTCCTTATGCTTCAATCTGTATCAGTCACACTCCTGGCTTTTTCCTCACGACATAATAAACACGAGTATCAAAATCAAAAATGGAAACTATTGTTTTTTTATCTTTTTATTTAGTTACTCTTCATCGAAAGCAAGTCATTTCGTTGTTATTCTATATCTCCAAAGCAAATACTTTCTAATTGCAGTCACAAATATCACTTTTTCTTCGTTTATTTCAGATCCGACACGAATCGTTATTGAAGAAGCGACATGTTAACGCTCTGGTGAGTAGAGTCTGATTATAATTCCCATACCATCAATTTTTCATTTTTAATTGTAATTGCTGAAGTTAGGGTAAAGAGTTCTCGAGTCGGTCAAGGAACTCGTATTCCGGAGGCGGAAATGGGTAACATGGAAAACAGAACCTTGTTGTTGTTGTTACTGATGTGGCGGTTAGTTCCTTCTCCGCCTCGGCAAACGTAAATCCAAGTGGCAAGCAAAAGAAGACATTGAGCATGGGTAAATAAGTGTATAATTTATTTACATATATACAAAACTAGTAACTTCTATCTGTTGCTGTTGCTAAGGCAACAGGGAGAGAGAATGGTGAAATTAGAAGTGAAATGGACATTGTCGTCGTCGATGGCGTTTCTCTCTCAGCGCGTCGGTTTTGACATCAAACACTGATCTATCTCGCGTCTCTCTCTCTCTCTCTCTCTCAGCGTACCGGTGTTGACATCCAACGCTGGTCTGTCTCGGGTCTTTTTGAATTTGAATATATATAGCTGTCAATCGGCTCGAAATTAAGGTTTTGATTTTTTGAGCGGGAGTGACTCTGACTAGTTGTTCATTTTATTTTGGTTAAAGCAAATGCATACATAAACCCGATGCACAGAAAACGTATTTACGCAGTCTTCTTTGGGTTGTCGAGCGGTCAAAATCTGGTTTGTGTAGAAAATCTAAGAGGCACGCCACCTCCCGCCCTAAATTCTAATGTTTCGTCAGATTTTAGGAAGAGGGTTGCGCTAATAACCTTTCAGCACCCTCTCGTAGCAATATTATTTACTATATCTTATTAACATTCATTCATCAGCGCTTTCTTCTCTTTTTCCGGAAATTTTCTTTTCTTTCAGAAAATAAAAGCTGCTGCAATAGCATTTTCATTACTGCCCGAAGTTATAACGAAAAAAAAATGAAAATATACAAGAAAGAAGATAACTTTATTACTAGCTAAATAAGGGTGCTTCTAAAAATTCGTCCCTTTTCCTGAGAATAAGATAACCTATTCTTTGGCTAAAAAATATTTTTAAAAATACCAGAAAAATAAAACATTACAAATTACTATTCACAAAATAATTTAAAAAAATGAGTTGTGCAAAAGATAACAAAAAGAGCCTCTTTTTGTTTTTTCCTTCCCTTTAAAGGGGATGGTTGACATTTGGACCTGTCCAACCACAGCCCATTAAAAAAAATATCAGCAGGTTCTTAGGGCCAGTAACACACAGTGGGAGTTTGTTTTATTTTTCTCCTCCCTGACCTCAAAATTTTCAAACTTTCTAATTTTTCTTTGCAATATTTTCGTTGTAATTTCTTATTGCATTCGTTCTCGTTTCTTGTAACGAAATCTGTTATGTTCGTGGTGTTCCGAATTAGAATGATATAAAAATGGTAATTGTAGCAGCATAAAGGTACATGTCGTCGATAGACGACAATTTACTTGTGTTTAATTTAATTCTTCATAACCACGCGTTGTTAAAATCTGATAATTAAAGGTCTTTCACTTGAGAAAATATTGTGAGGAACAATGCTACTTTAATTTGAATATAATTATTACCTAAGTGTTTAAATTTTCATTTGTATACACAAGTACGGGTACACACATACATACCTTCTTTCTATATTCATGTCTGTACAGAGGGACGTTTATTTTCAAGATTGAAATTTACAAAGAATCAGTTTCACCTCGCAATAGAGCAGCATTGTTTAAACTGGCTTATCCTCATACACATGGAAAATGACATCCAGAACACCATTTGTCTTTAAGTCAATTATAAATCAATTTTCTGCAAATGAATCTCGCAAAAGGCGTATGCTAATTAACAATCGAACATTCATAATGTGCCGTCTGTACAGTATAAAATTAATTATCATTTATTGTTTTTACTTTTCAAGGCGTATATATTGTTCAAAAGTTTGTCTTGATTATTCTTCACTTTATTCGTACCTCCAAAATTTGCTAAAAAGAGGATACATGATGAAAAAATTGCACAGAACAATAAAAACATTTTTTTTTGTAAAAACATTTGTGTTATTAATAAGATGAAAGATAAGATGAAGGATTTTTGGGTGTAAATTTTTTATCCTTTTTAGAATCTTGGAAATGTTTCGTAAGAAAAAGTTTTCTGGCGTCAACGCAGGTGACTATAAATTTGTTCTGGTTTTGGGATGAAAAATACTATGATTTGGAAATTCTTGCAAAATAGTGATTTGTCTGATTTTAATTCAATTTTCATGGCTTATTCACAAATGAAGAAATTTATTTTTAAAATGTTTCTTTTGAAGAAAATCTCGGTAAAATATATTGTTTTTACAAGTTATTTAATTTTATGAAATTTCGAGAAATTAAATTTTGTCCCACTTAATAGTTAACAACAATCTACTGAGGTTTTAATGGTGAAAAACAAAATATAATGTTTCTCATACAAAATATTTATAATTTAGCAAAATTTATTGTGGTATATACGAATCCAAATTTGAATATTTTCGTAGTAAGAGGAGCCCGGAGAAAGACTGAAAAATAAAAGCAAATATTCTATAGTTGCTGAAATTTTATCGTTTGCTTTAAAAAAAAAAATACAAAAATATCTCATTTTAATGTGTTTTTTTTTTTAAAGAAATGCCCACAAGTCTTTACATGTAGTATATATATATAACGAGAGAGGAGGAGAACGAAGAGAAAGAGAAAGAGGAGGAGGAGGAGGAGGAGGAAAGAGAGATTGAGAGATGTAATTTTAATACAACTGCAGTACAATTCCTTTAATCTCTGATAATAAAAAACAGAAATGAAAAAATACTGAAAAATGAACCAAAGGATGATTAATCTGATTTCTCTTTTGTCTGTTAAAATAGTTTTTTTTTATTGATTTGATTGAATTGCTTCTGTCTTGTTACTCATGCAACAGTAATACCTGCTCTTTTTTTCTCTTAACGATTGATTTTGCCAACAGCTTTACAAAATCATAAACTTGTAATTATTGTTACGTATTTATTTAAATGCAACTGTCAGAGAAATTGGAAATTGATTTAAATCGTGTAGTTACATCATCCCACAATCCGAAATTATATATTAGTAATATAAAGAAACTAATTTTATTCATTTAAATAATTGTATTTATTCAGCTTAGTTTAGCTTAGAATTTAACGAATGGCATGAGGTCATTCATTATAATAATGTACTTTTTAATATAAAAAAATTATTAAGGTTTGAAACTTTCTGTAGATTTGGATCACCTTTTACACATCTTCAAGGTTAGAAAGTATTCTTTAGTCTTAGAGGTTTTCATTTTTTCTTTTCAATTATTTTTAATTGATCGATTATATGCGACAATTTAAATGTAACACATTATTGTAAAATTATATTGAAATCACCTCTGCACAATATGTAGAATTTATGCTATCCAAACAGAAAAAAAAGATACAAATACTGTATATAGTCTATTGATATTCAATCTGGCATGTTGTATTAGAGATTTGAACATATTTTTATCTACTTGCAATGTAACGATTCAAAAACGCAATAGAGAATTCTTTGACATTCTTTAGTGGTGACTCACTAGAATGACATCGGTCTCATTGACTGATGGTGACCAATATAGCAAACAACTGAACCGTTTTACTGATCAATAAAAAAACATTGATCAATAGTTTTAGCGCCGAGTAAAAGTCACTGAATAATGTGAAGACTAGGGATTTGAATGAACAGTGGGGTAGTTTTGGGGCTATTACTTTATTCGCTTTTCATGTCAAAAATAGAGAATACTCATTTTCAAATTTAGGATATTGGAGTAATATTTTACGATATCTAGGCAGTGCATTCACTTTATTAGCAAATGTCCACTATATTCAAGAGGCAAGGTGATTATTAAAAATCTTCTCTCACAAACCTCTTTCCATCCATCTCTCAAACATGTTGTTAGTGTTATTTGTCTTCTCTTTCTCACTAATGTTCATATTTTTCATGTGTCTTTGTAGATGTATATGTAGATAAACAAGAAGAGAGGATTATTTGTCAAAATCGGATCGAGATGTCCTGACAATTTGGGATTACTAGAAATAATATTGATCTAAATTACCTTTATCTTTTTTTTAAGTTCAACTTCATTGTTGATACTTGTTTCAGAGTATTCATAGATTCATTTGTGTGTGGATGAGAGCACATGCGTATATACGTGTGTCATTTCTAGCTTATAGAAAAACGAAGTGTTTAAACTTTGGCTTGGTTATCAAATAACTGTTTTCAAAAAATCTTTATGAAATTTCTTCCAATAATTTCTTTTTTGTTTCTTTTTTGTTTTAGATTGTGTCCATTTTTGTGAATATCTTTAACCAGTCAAGCTATTTTATAAGAGAAAAATACATCGCTGACATGAAATGAAATTCCTCAATCTTTCAGTAATACTTTTGAAGAGAATTAGCTTCTAAAGTAGTTTTCTTTTCTTTATTTCGATTTGTTAAGACCTCGTAGTTTAATCCTCACGGCCTGATCCGATTTAAATTCAAGCAGATAGTGGGATTAACCTTCAACACCAAAAGATCCTACTCAGAGCGCCATTGTTCCATTATTTTTTGTTTTCAATGACCCACTCCTTGTATATTTAGCATTAAAATAATTGCAAAAACAAATAAATAAAACGAATATTCATTAGAGAAACTTACAATTTCCTTTACTTTTATGCGTTTTCCTCTATCGGTATACGATGATTTTCAAAGCCTAGCTTAAGATGTGGTACCAGGGGTTCAAACTGACTATTCAGTTGTAATGTAACTGATCTAGCGAGATAAGCGTGCTAACCATTACACCGCATCGAAATGCCTCACCTATCAATATAAAATGTGCTTGAATTCTTTCTGTAACACACATACTTATGTTACATATGCGACTGTACATACACAAACGCTTTTCGGCATCGTCGGATAAGCTTCACGGAAAGAAATATGTATGTGGGGGGTGTTTGTGTATGTTCATCAATATTAAATCGTTAATAATACTTTTTCCACTAAACTG